CCGATCGCAACCGCAACGGGTCGCAAGCGCAACAGCTCGCAAGCGCCGCGGGGTCACATGTGCAACGGGTCACAACCGCAACGGTTCGCAAGCGCAACGACTCAACCGTGGGGAGCCGCCTGTTAGACGGCATCGACTGTAGACGAAGCCGGGAGCGGGAGCGGAGCGTGCAGCGAGCCTCTGGATAAGAAATCAACCGAGCCTTTGGTCGCTGTGCACTTCTCGTGTAGAATGCGGTACCTCTCAGATACTTTTAAACGTTTTGACAGCCGCACTGCGCTCGCCTTGACGCGGCAGCGATTACTCTTGTGCTAAAAAAATAATTATAAATGGTGATGGGGTGAGCTGGAAGTCGGGAAACTTCGGTGTGAGTAGTGTCCGGCGGCGTCGTCGCCCGCGGTGCACTTACCGTACATTTTGACGCAATTAATTTGTACTCGCAGAAGTGTGTGTACTTCGCAGATTTTGTTGCGACATTCTAGCCCAGAGGGTTCTTCTTTCACGATTTAAACCTGTCAAGATCATTAAATATTTTCTCCAAATAATATATTTTTTGGGCCACTTTTGAGAAGAAAACTCCCTCTAGCGACCCAAAGGTTAGAAATAGAGCCAAACGGACGAAATTTCGGCCCTAAGAGTTCTAATCTTACAAGTTACCCCTAAGGTGACCATAAGCAGAAAAAAATCCACTTCTTGGACCAATCCCTATTTCTTTGTTACCCCCTCAGACCGACTCAGGGGTGGTTGGGAGGATTTGCACCAACCGTTTCGTTGTCCAGAAGTGACAACAATAATACCCTGAAAATTTCAGACCCTTTAGCTCACGTCCTTCTTGAGAAAAACAGACGGACAGACAGACAGACACAAGGGCGATGGCATAAGCCCGCTTAAATAGCTTTGAAGAAAAGAGCGGGCTAAAAAGAACTTAAAGTTGAGGAAATGTTGAGAACTAAATAGGAAGTTCGTTTTTTCAAGCAATCTAAAACGGAAGAAGGAAAAGTAAGGGCTCTGATTGGTCCAGCTAATCACGTGCCTCCGCGGCCATTCAGGTATGAGAAACTGTCAGATCAGTTTCGAGCTCCCCTCCATATTTGAGAGGTTAGGATCGGACCAAACTACTATGGTAGTTTCTCATACTGGGCGGACGGAAACATATAAATCGTTTGTTCTTTTTCACTGCCGTTTTAGATAGCCTGAAACACCCTATTCGACAGTAAAAGAGACAGAAATCGTAACTTGGCATGGTTTGGTTACCCCCTCAGACCGACTCAGGGGTGGTTGGGAGGATTTGCACCAACCGTTTCGTTGTCCAGAAGTGACACGAAAGTACCCTGAAAATTTTAGAACTCTAGCGCACGTCCTTCTTGGGTAACGGACAGACACAGGGGCGATGGCATATGCCCGCCTATAGAGCTTTTAAGCAAAAGAGTGGGCTAAAAAATGTCCCACCCCCCAAAGTCGGCTCAGGGCGTAAGTGGCACAAACTTTTCGAAAAAGGGTCCCGCCACCTTTCGATATGTTGTTCCCCAGGTCCTAGAACGCATTTCTGGATGGGCGATTTCTAGTATTTTTTTCCTGTCCAACCTTAAGCAGGTCCTACAAGATCCGCGGCGCCCTTTCGAAAAGTGCTAGTGTGAGCTCAGCGGCGCTTTGTCGTACGAACTTCGGACAATGACCAAAATCAATTGCAAGGTGTATCCTGTCATTTGAGGCCCGAACCTCTTCTATTTTCGACTTGACCCTTCAATTTGAAACGAGCGAACCTCTATCTCATCTCCTTCCTCTTACACGGTAGATAGACGGACGGAAAGACGGACAAGAAAGCGATTGCATAAACCCCCTTTAAAGCGTTTTTAAAAGTGGAAGGGCGGGCTAAAAAATAATAGAAATAGAGGAAACAAGCTAGGCACGCTCTTCCGCCAAACCAAGTTGCCAGCTACGCTTCGCTCCACCGGCAGCTCAGTTCGGCAGGGAGCGGGTCTAGCTTGGCCTGCCGGCGGCCTTTGGCCGAAGCCCCCGTCCCTCCTGATTTTTCATGGTGTAATAAAGCTTCCATCGGGAAACGGGCCTTCGGACCGTTTGAGTGACAGCTCGCTCTAAACCATCTTTTTGCCAGATACCCTTGCTGTCTACCTCACTGTTAAATTCCTGCGAAGTATTTTGCTCTATTGTAAGTACGAAGCATTTACTTCGCAATTACAAAGTGATGCTTTGCAATTACGAAGTGACACTTTGCAATTGCAAAGCGATGCTTTGCAGCGTTTTCAGTGCTCCGCAATTGCAAAGCATCACTTTGTAATTGCGAAGTAAATGCTTCGTAGTTACAATGGAGCAAAATACTTCGCAGCTCTGCAAAGCGAATGCTTTATAGGAATTAAACAGTGTTCGTAATCATAACTCAACAAACGAAGCATTCTTTTTAAACGCTGAACATCCTTGGCTGTATGTGCCGCAGTTTGCGGAAAACATGCAAGTTTTGCCAAATCCCTTCTACGTTTCTGATGTTAGCTTATGGATCCAACAGCACAACTCGAAAAGACCCAGAAGAAGTTAGATATACTTCCAGGCATACTCTGAAATAACTCCGAACGTGTCCGCAATGATTTCGCTATAATTACTAATAGAAAGGAAGCAGCTTGTGAAGTACAACAAAACAATGAAATAAATGTTTGTTTGTTTTTGCATGGGATTGTACACATTTCATTACTGATATGCCACAATAAAATAAGCCCACTCTTCTGCTTAGAAGATAAATTTTGAACCGACGGCATACTTCTCAGACAAAGGTGTACTCCTGAAAAAAATGTTAAAGATTCTGCTATGGCCATTTCGGTAAGAAAAATTCCCTTTTCTAAGAAAACAGTGAAAGCCAAACGCACGACATTCTAGCCCAAAAGGTTCTTCTTTCACGGTTCACCCCTTTGGACACCATCAAATATTTTTTTTAAATAATATATTTGTTTTTGGTCCACTTCTGTAAGAAAAACTCCCTTTAGCGTCTCAACTGTGCGAGATAGAGCCAAACGGACGTAATTGTAGGCCAAGGGGCTCTTCTTCAACAATTTACCCTTTTAGAGACCGTCAAATATTTTCTAAAATTAATAAATTTATTTTCGGGACACTTTTGAGAGAGAAACTCACTCTAGCGCTTGAACGGTGAGAGATAGAGCCAAACGGACAAAATGTTAACTCAAAGGGCTATACTTCCTGAAGGGCGCAGTAGCACTTCGGGACGGATTTTCACAACTTTCAGGTGATTTATTGGTCTAAAATACCCTTTTCTTATGGGAAATTGTTTATCCTAGTTCATTCTAAGGAGTTTGATGTACTAAAAAAGAACAAGCAGGCCCGCCCTTCCGCCAAACAGAGTTGCCAGCTCCACTTCGCTGCGCCAGCAACTCCGTTCGGCAGGGGCCGGGCCTGCTTGGTCTGCCGGTGGCGATGGTCCATTTCAGTCTGGCGATTTACTAAAGTGCATAATCAAATAAACAATGTGACCGGTAAATCACTTAGCATATTTGAGTAAACTAAATCGTCCAGCGGGGGGCCTGCGGCCCTAGAAACTTGCTCCTCGGACATGACATAAGACTATAACGGGGCAAAACCGTGAATACACCCCACCCTTCTGCTTTGCTTAAGAATAAAATAAAATGAACCCGCGCAGTTTTAAGTTTGTATGTTGTTTGTCAAACGGTCTTAAAACTTGACTTTTTGCCATTGTTTTCAATATATCCACCTCTAAGGCCGAAACAGTAAAGGATACGGCTAATCCGATGGTAGTTCCTGATCCAGAATGTGATGTTGTTTTTTTTTTTTTTTTTTTTTTGGGGGGGGGGGGGCTACTTACTCTGACATTTCACGATTGGACGCCTTCTTGTACGTCTTGTCTGTACTTGACAGATCGTGATATCGTTTAGTTTATCTTTTATAGCACATCAAAAAACTGAGACTGAGAATGAACTAGGATAAACAATTTCCGATAAGAAATACGAATGTTAGGTCAATAAATCACCTGAAATTGGTTAAAATCCGTCTCGAAGTGCTACATTTACCCCTTTGAGACCATCGTATATTTTCTAAAATAAATATATTTTCTTTTGGGCCACTTTTGTGAGTGAAACTCCCTCTATCGCCTAAACGGTGAGAGATAGTGCCCAACGGACGATTTTTTTCCCCCGAAGAACTCTACTTTAACAAGTTACCCGTTAGGAGACCATAACATAATGTTTTTACCTCACTTCTCAGGCCAACCTCTATTTCTTTGTAACCCCTTCGGACCCACTCGGGTGGTTGCCAGGATTTGCACCAACCGTTTCGATGTCCAGAAGTGACAACAATAATACCCTGAAAATTTCAGACCCTTTAGCTCACGTCCTTCTTGAGAAAAACAGACGGACGGACAGACAGACAGACACAAGGGCGATGGCATAAGCCCGCTTAAATAGCTTTGAAGAAAAGAGCGGGCTAAAAAGAACTTAAAGTTGAGGAAATGTTGAGAACTAAATAGGAAGTTGGTTTTTTCAAGCAATCTAAAACGGAAGAAGGAAAAGTAAGGGCTCTGATTGGTCCAGCTAATCACGTGCCTCCGCGGCCATTCAGGTATGAGAAACTGTCAGATCAGTTTCGAGCTCCCCTCCATATTTGAGAGGTTAGGATCGGACCAAACTACCATGGTAGTTTCTCATTCTGGGCGGACGGAAACATATAAATCGTTTGTTCTTTTTCACTGCCGTTTTAGATAGCCTAGAACACCCTATTTGACAGTAAAAGAGACAGAAATCGCATCTTGGCATGGCTTCCGACATCTCAGGTACTTCTGCGTGGCGTCGCCGGAATTTTCTCGACATATGTGGTTTATATTAAGTGCGTTCGGAACCACGTTTTCAATACCCTTAGCAGCGGCCCGATTGCCTGTTTTCCTTCCGACTTTGACCTATCAGAACCGCCAGAGCGCACCGTTGGAGTGGCTTGTTATGGTTCCCTCCGAGAGGAGCCCTTACGCTGGTGAAACTCTGTGCATCTCGTGTGCAGCGAAACGTTGCGGTGAGAAGTTCGTCCCCTTTTCTGTCTAGAAGCACTGAGTAGTTAAGCAGCATGGCTGCGTGGTTCATACTCGCAGGACAAGATGAAACATGACGCCAGCGGGCAACATACGTCGTTCCCTTAAATCACAACAACATTGTTACAACTCAAATTAACCCTCACCTTGTCGTGTCGTAACAAACCGTGCCGTATCAGGTTCAGGATCGTTTCATGCGAAAATCAGCCTATAGTTTAGGTTTTGTTAGTTTGCGTCATATTTCGCATGGTTTGCCCGTATTTTACTTTGAGGTTATCAATGTTGACTTTGTACAACAATCTATATGTACGCCAGACCACGTCTCGCGTAACAGGCTTCGCGATATCTCAGGAAACACTGTTACGCTGCGACGCGCCAGGCGCACACATAGCAAGGCCTGCGGCGCTGACACCCGAGATGAATTTACAGGAGTGAAAGCGGAAGCAGGGCCTGCCGGCCCCCAAATTTGATATGTTCACAGCATTTGTCGGGGACTTAATACTCCAAAATTAGGGACATTGGGACGAAGGCGTACCTTTGTGTACATTCTTCTCCTACCCGTCTCGGGTGTCAGCGCCGCGGGCCAAGGTAGATGTATGCCTGGCGCGTCGCAGCGTAACAGTGTTTCGTGAGATATCGCGAAGCCTGTTACGCGAGACGTGGTGTGGCGTACATTCACCTTGAATTAAGTAAAACCCTAAGTCATCTTCAGTTTTAAATCTAGTCGAAATCGACGTTCACAGGATCAAGACAAACTGTGGATCATATTTGGACTTTTAAAAAATAATGGACTTTCACCTAGTCAACAAAACATAGCCCCAAACACATCCCTGGTACAACCCGGTTGGGATGTGGGACGTCCCAGCCAGGACGTCCCACAGTCCTACAGAATGCAACATTTTTAGACCATGAGCAGAAGATAAGCACCTCCCACCAGTGCGTCCTGGAGGTGATTGTCACATCGCGGAAGGAACGTCCTAAGGAGGAACCGACTTTCAGGACCTGACCATCATTTTATGTGAAACAATATGACAAAATTCAAAAGCCAAGTGAGGTTCGATGAGTTTCTTATTTGAAACTAATTATATTCATCCAGAAGCAGGTCCCGGATAACTTGGTCAAGGATGACAGAGTTTACAAAAATTATTTGTAGCAGTCATGTGATGTATCACTTGACCACAATTAGACCAGACCTCATATTTGGCGAAGGGTCTATGAGAAAGGTATGCGGATGATCCGCGAGATTTAAATAAGACATCACATAAAATCTGAAATTGTGCATGCAAGTGAACATTGGTAGTGCAATTCGACTTCATGCCCCTTGCTTTATACGGAAATAACATAACTTTTCAAAAATACTTATTATTACCTACATTTTAACGCAAAAATGATAAAACCTACGAGGATCGCGTCGCTAGCACCGACTGTCGGCAAAATGTAGCACGGCACACGGCTGCCACTGGCATTGGCATACCAAAGACCTCCCGCAGCAGATGTATACAGGATGTGCATTATCCTGCTAGTCTCCATAACCATGACGTCCCGAGCAGGTTCTATGTAGTACGTCCTGGTGACATTCATACTGGCCCATCTCTAGCAGATGCATACGTAACGTCGTTTCCAAAGACATGCTGGTCAGCACCCTGACTGAACGCCCCAAGGAGCAGCCCGACGGGTGCCCTGAGGAGGTACTCGTATGTTACGTACTGCCCGATGACATGCTGAGTAGCTCCTCGGCGGGACAACCCAAGAAGCTTTACCGCAGGTATATCCTGAGGAGTAACTTCTCAGTACCTTAACTCAGAAGAACCTCCCAATCAGATCCCGGCCAAGATGTCTATGTGGTCGTGCTGCACAACACATCCTGATTTGCTTCAAGGCATGTACTTTTGGGATGTCCCAGTAGCACGCGTGAGGGATTCGTGTGGGATGATCCCACACTCCTCCCAAAAGTAAATAGGAGCCGCTTTGTTGACTGGGCAGTCATTGTATCAGATATGAGACTTTCCCGCTATAACCAAGATATTGAATAGGGTATTCCGAGTACGTTTGGCGCCGGAAACGGAGGCGAAAATGGCGCTGGTCTTATCTCAGCCTCATGGCTTCTGTATCCGTGCGTCTGCTATCTAGTGTCCATCGCTCGGTCGCTCTTATTAGCGATGCCATTCTGCTTCAGATTATTACGCTTACGTGTTATTATTGCAAGCAAAAATATTTTAAATGATATCTTCATTCTCAAAATCGAGATTGAAATCTGGACCACCACCTAACCTAACGCCACCGCCATGCGGCTGAGATTCGACCAGCGCTATCCTCGCCTCTCGTTTCCGGCGCTTGGCTTGTCCGGAATACCCTATTGGGCGCCACTTTCATTGGCAATCGTTTAGTATTCAGTCAACATTGAAAATCCCAAAATTCAAACCGATTCGGGAATCTACACTTGTATAAGTCCCCTTGTAAGCCCCATCCATCTGCATTTGAAAAAGAAGAACCAGACTCTACGAGGTAGAGTCGTCCCCAAATTTGTCTATTGGCTTGCCAGAGGAGTCGGCAACAATCGCTCAGCTTGCTTTTTTGCGATCGTAAGTGCCATGGCCAGCCAAGACATCCTCACGCCTCCTTCGAATGGCCACGAATAAACTATGACACGCTCTGCGATACGTTGTGCACACATCTGCCAAGGCCTGTGAAAGCCCGCGTTATTGCATTTTCAAGACGGAAGGGTAAGGGTACAAATACGAATTCAGAAAAGACAAGTTCGCTGAAAAAATAAACCTTTTTCTATGAATTCCCGAATTATTTTTAAAAAATACACTCGTCAAAACATTTAGCGGTCCACTGTTTTACGCCCGAATTAGATTATCTCCCCTAGCACCTAGGAAGTCGAGATTTGACAGACATGCGTCGATATGTCTAGCTTAACATCCTTGAGCGCGAATGGCGTGCGACACCCCTTACGCCGTACGCATCCCCTAATGATCAGGGGAGTGGAAAGGTTGAAAAAAAACGTAAAAGGTTAGGGTAGAAGGGGGTGCCGGAAGTGGATAAAATTTGGTGTACGGTTGTCCTAAGTACTAATTTTAAGGTTTTTGGCCCGTTCCACCACCTCCGACAATTCACCCCCTAACCGCAGTTACCCCCACCCCCTCAAAGGGGTGTCTTTTTTTTGTTTTTTTTTTTGAAATCTCGAACGCTACGGGAAATCTTGTACTTTGACGTGGGCAACGACAGCAAAGTGCCCGTTTCACTTTCGCACCCCGCTGGACTACCCCCAACTGTCCAAACCTTAACTGAAATTTCCACATTTTTAGCCCGCCCTTCTGCTTTAGAAAAGCTATCTAGCGGGCTTATGCAAACGACCTCGTGTCTGTCTGTCTGTTCCACTAGAAGAAGATGTGCTAGAAAAAAAAAATACACCCCTTTGAGGGGGTGGGGGTAACTGGGGGTAGGGGGTGAATTGTCGGAGGTGGTGGAACGGGCCAAAAGCCGTAAAATTGGTTCCTAGGACAACCACACACCAAATTTTATCCACTTCCGGCACCCCCTTCTACCCTAACCTTTCACATTGTTTTCAACTTTTCCACCCCCGTGATCATTAGGGGATGCGTACCGCGTAAGGGGTGTCGCACGACATTCGCGTCAGATTAAATTACACACATCGATGCATGTCTTTGTCAAATCTCGACTTCCTAGGTGCTAGGGGAGATAATTTAATCCGGCGGAAAAAAGTGGACCCGTTTTGACGAGTGTATGTGTGTTTGGATGGGTTTACTTGCCGTTTTCGCGGTGGATGCACATCCCCCAATACAAATTATGATGAAACCAACGAATATGTGTAATGGCGGACCATGCGCGCACGACGACAGCATCATCTTTGCAGACTGCACAGCAGAAGACAGAAGTTTCAAAGGCTCAAAAACCGGAGGAGAACAACACTGTTAAAAATGTTATTAAAATTCATTACTTTTTTGTGATTGGCCGAGCGATAGCGAAGCCTATTACTTCAGTGATGATCAAACGGTTTCGCGTCTGGCTGTTTGTCTATCTGTTCTCACGATAACTCGAGAACGGTTTGTTGTAGAATATGCTCAAATTTTTATTGTAACTTTGTACCATTAAAAGGAACTGTGTTCATGTTGAGCCCTCTGGCCCAAAAATTGACGTGTCAAAAAAAACAAAAACAAAAAGCCTAAAACAGTTTCTTTAAATATTTTATTCACCCCTTTCTGAGAAGTATCTCGTCAAAGTAGAACCCTGTGGCCCAAAATTTTGTCCGTTTGGTTCTATCTTGAACCGTTGGGCGCCAGAGGGTGTTTTCCACACGAAAATGACATCAAAACATTTTAATCTTTACTCTCAGATCTTTGATGGTTCCTGGCGGGGTAACTAATCAAACTGAAACCCCGCAAAGAACAAAACTAGTGACGCTTGGGTCCGAAGGCCTACTTACGACTGGCCTTTGCCCGAATCGGGTGTCAGCGCCGCAGGCCAAGGTATATGTATGCCAGGCGCGTCGCAGCGTAACAGTGTTTCGTGAGATATCGTGCAGCCTGTTACGCGAGACATGGTCTTGTGTTGTGTTGTGTGTCCACTTCGCTGCGCCGGCAACTCCGTTCGGCAGAGGCCTGGCCTGCTTGGCCTGCCGGCGGCGATGGTCGGGCCTGCGGCCCGACCATTTCAGTTTCGCGATTTACTGAAGAACATAACCAAATAAATAATGTGACCGTTAAATCACTTTGCATATTTGGGTAAACTAACTTCCGGTG